TATAATAAAGTACAACTATCCTACTTAAGGCCTATATTCAGTAAATTTTTCAAACAATCAATTGGCAAGAAAGCACATAGCTACGGACAATACTTACACTAGGTACGCTTTAATTAGAAATCAAATCCAATCGGGGAAAAATGGAGGTCAATTATTAACAGGGCCTGTATTATTGTTGCATTAAAAATAACGTAATAGGCGCAAACGCAAGAGCAAAAAGCTGTGAGATGCAGCTTTTTGGCTCCGAGTGCCGGATTAGGCAAGCGCGTAAATAGGAAAAGGACAAAAGTGGGAAACCGACAATGGGCGAAAATTTTTTGACTAATCTTTCTGTCCTACTTCGCTCAAAAGAGGGCGATCAAACGCGCACATTAACGCGGACGGGGACAGCAGGGGCACAAGAAGCAAGACTTTTGGTTTTGAGGTGGCAGTGGCAACGGGCAAATGTCAGTGTGTGTCTGGGCCGGCGAGGGATAGAAAATCGATGGAACTTGCGGGTAGGTAATGCGGCGTACACACATGGATTCATTGGGTGCTTTGTCCTACAAACGTTCTATCGGAGCTGCCTTGCGGAAGCCATCACCTTCGGAAACGTAACGCTTACGAGACCTGAAACGACGGGAAGTTACAAGTTCAGCTAAATATGCCACAAATGCATTAAAGGACTTGGGTAAATACTGCTAATTACCCAAGGTACAACCGTATGCTAGGTAAAGGCAGGTACCCAGACTTAAGAATATACAGAAACAATACTCGCGGCAGGTCTCACACACACACACACACACACACACACATTTAAACGAGCCTCAAGCAATTGCATGGTTCTCACACAGTGTTACATGGAAGCACATTCCAATAAATACCCACATTTAGCCTCGTGTTCGCCCGGAGGACGGGACACGAAACCAATAGAAATTGATTTAGTGTAACAATGATCGACTTGCGCTACATAAAAGGAGACGGAAAATTCCGATAATTTCGAAAAGCTGATTATAGAAAGATAGAGGGAAATTATGCTACACTATATAAGTTCTAATTGGGCTAATGAAGCCCCCGTTGCGCTTCTGCCGCCTTATAACAGAAAAATATACGTACTTAACATGAACCTACGAAAAAACTAGATTTGAAACACTTCTTGCTTTTCATAAAGGTTGATTAGTCATTATCAAGTCTAGTAAACTATAGGTATTGACATTTTCGTTGAGTAGATACATTTATATAGTGACAAGTTTTCAAACACAAGGTCATACCGGTAATAAAAAATGAAGATTATGAACAAAAGAAGCTAACCACAATAAATAACCATAGCTTAGATACAGCCTGTGTCGAAAAAAACGTAACGTAAGGCTGAACCCCAGTTTCAGTTGAGTTTTAGTTCTGGTAAAATAAACTGTGACGTGAGATAATTTTGTGAATCGGGAAATTCTCTATGGGACAGTTCGAGCTAGGACCAAATTCACAAAATCAAGTGGGAAATCAATACCACACGCAAAAATAACTTAGCTATCAACAACTATTCAACTACGTTCATTAGTCCATGTAACAAACTATGACACATAATCCAACAAAATTTCTGGATAGATACCGAAAACATGATTATTAACACAATGAGAACCTAACCTGGCAATAAAACAATGAATCAACATCGGGTTTATGTCGAGCCCGCGCCGATAACGGGGACCAATGAGGAGCACTCAATGCATTCGACAATTATTAAGACTTGTGATTTATCCTGTAGGGAACACAAGAACCTAACGTGTTTGCATGTGCTACCAACAAGCCTCCCAATTAGACGAAGAAATGCGTTACGAAATAACCAATAGGCCTGAATGGCACCCACTTTGCGGGCATCTCGTTGACAATCTTCTGTGGCATGAAGCCGGCCTTGACAGCAGCACGCAAGAAGCGCTCCAGAAGGACATGAGCAACGGGCTGGTCCTGCTGGATTTCCGGAAGTTCGGTATAAACTCTCTTTACACCAGTCACCAACTGATCCAGACTGATCACTACTGAACTACACAACTTGTCTAGGAGGCGGAGAATGCGGTTCATTACCACTTGATCACCCTCGTGCTCGAGAACCAAGAAGATAGCCTGAAAGGAAAGAGGAATGATGGCGTGTTTATGCCTTTAGTGAAAATAGTAATGCTGATTCACTGGCAATACGCAAGATTTTGGATCGCATTAAAGCAAGCATTCAGATCCCATGGCGCGCCGAAAAGTGATCCGCCTGCTTGACAATTCTTTTTTAAGGTTAAGCGAGTAATTAAAAGAATGGGCAACATGAACGACTTCGAAGACCGAATTTTACGAATTTAAAAAAAAAAACATAATTGGCACTCATGGAGAGATTCACTAAATTTACCTGATAAACTAATTCGTGATGAAAATGTGGCGAATCAAGTTCCTGAAGAGAAGAAGTTGCTTCTTCAAGATTGTCACTACTCAGGTAATCCTCCAATATACAGGAAATTTGTTTCATCAGCATAGTAGTAACACGTTCATTGGGAGGAATGCCCCAGACAATGTCCAGGTGACGGTAGGCGTGGCTAAGCGTAAGCAGAGTTTCTGCTTTGTTAATTGCCATTAGAGCATAGTTTATAGGTGAATCACCAGCCGGCATCATATTTCCAGTTCCATCACAGGCGGAACTAAAGCCAGAACTGCTCCGTGTGTTGGGACCAGCGCTCCCTACTAGACCAGTGCTGTCACGACGTGATGCTATACGAATTGGAGGATGAGCCGTATCGGAGACGACTGGCGGCGTTCCAGATGGTGGCATAGCAGCATTCACCTCCTTATATTGCTGAACAAACTTCGGTGGTAGAATGTCGTCAGCAACGGCGCGAGCGATGAAACGACCCACATACTACAGCAAATAATAAGTGCTCTTTTCTGACGGATGAACAACAAAAGAATAGCATAAGCCACTTACTTCAGGAGCCTTAGGGACATCGATGACAATGTCAGCCATATCATCAAGAAGTAATTGAAAGCCCTGTTGCATGACGGGCATACTGATTACTTTACCGCACATCTCGGATAGGAGCTCTGAGGTCAGTTCACAATGACCCATCTTGTGTTGTAACGCAAGGTTAATGGCCAAAGAGGGCAAGCGCCTGCGCTGCAAAGGCGTAATTGCGATTTCCTTCAACCCATCCTGTGGACAAGAGTAAATTTCAGGGACATGTAGGAAGGTACCATAGGTACATAAAAGTGATTTTAGGAAACAAGCAATAGACAGACGAGAAATATTTAAAAGCACTAAGACTTACGATGACTTCACCAGGTTTGCAATGGTCATAATATTCGCGAACCAGGGAAGAGAAGTATTCATCAAAATCGTCATCAGACAAAACGACTTTTACGGACTCAATAACAGACGGATCCTAGAAGCTATAAGAATAAAAACAAAGAACCTCTTCCTCGGACTCATAATCAGGGTCGCCATAATCGAGTTCCAATTCGTCCAACTCATCACTTACGCGAATCCAGACATCCTTACCAGTATCTGAGTGGAGATAGATAAAACAAAATCCGCGTACTTTTCTTTGACAGATGCTTAGGGCCGTTGCGTGACTTCCGACTATTTTTCCCGTATGGGGCCCTATTACCACAAAATAGTCTCTGAGCGCTGGGAGTAGGGTTTTCCGATGCTAGAGTCAAGCCATTTAATCCGGCGTGGCTGATAGAATTGTAGTGCGTACGCTTCTTCCGTGACATTCTGGGATTCTGCGGTCTTACATTCATGTTGTCGCCAACGAAATTTTGTTTTTGCCAAGTCATTTCACCCGACGATTCTTCGCCGCTGGCTTCCACACCAGAGCCCTCATGTTTACGCTCAGGTTCCGACATATCTTTGTAACTGATTTTTTTAAACGAGGCAAGAAAGACGACTGGTAATTAAAGGAAGTCAAATCGTTATTTCAAGCGGCTTCAACAAAAAAAATAAGTTTTAAGATGCACAATACAACCAAAACACGACAAAACAGGTATCAAAATAACATTTATTTGCGCGGTGATAACAGCCGAGATAAACAAAGCCTTTGTTTGAACACACGGATGATCGAGGAAGAAAAATTAGGAACCAAAAAAAGTTGCTTTCTCATCATTAAGTTTAATTATTGTAAGGTTTATTAGAGCGATTTGGTCTCCTAGATATCTAATTATTCGGGACATAATAACTGAATTCCATTAGGACGGATATAGTGAGGGCAGATATAAACGCACACAGACAAAAAATTTGTTTGAGTGACTCTGCTAAACATCACATATATATAGACCAGTTAGAAGGCTAAGTCTGGTCCATATGTAGATCAGACTTCTGATCATCGTGACTATGTGCTTTCTTGCCAATTGATTGTTTGAAAAATTTACTGAATATAGGCCTTAAGTAGGATAGTTGTACTTTATTATAGTTTAACCGGATGTTGGAAATGGACGTTAATCCTTATTTCAGAGATCTTGCCTCATGGGTAGTTAGACCTTCTTTTGTGGACCGTCCCTTACAGTTCCATTGCAGTTTGCAAGTGTTTCAACAAAAAAACGCTTGATATCTTTGATTTGCCAGCTTACCGAAAGTTTGCTTTCTTAAAAACCGCGTTAAGCGTTCGTGAATAGCCGGTCTTGTTACTTGTGGGTAGCGGTATGCCAAAATATTGAGTGTTAATGTTAATCACTGTTAGTGAACATCCTGGTCATTGCTGCTTCCCTGGTCTTTGGAGCCGCATGCAAGGCTACGACATGATAAGTGTCCTGGCGCTTTACCATAGGCCTAGTTGCCATGTAGGGTACCATCAATTGGGGTGGTACTAACAAAAAGTGAAATTGTGGCAACTACAAACATGGACACTCGATATAGTACTTTTCGAAGTAAAGTTGCCTTGTGTGCTATTATGGGGATCGGACATTTTTACTTCTGATTAATCGTTGCACTCCGACGATAATGGTGATGATGACGATGCCTGATTACACATCCACAAGGCTCGGGGTTAAACGTCAAGCCAATTACAGGAACAGCAAAATTGAAAGACTCGCGTGTCATCTCACAGATTGTGTCCCCAACCGAAGTGTAGACTACTGCCCCAATTCGGTTGTTGTTCCAATGGTTGTGGGAACGATGGGGCCAGAGTGGAAGGTCCATCCCAGGGTGAATAACGTGGAAGTTTCCTACGTGAAGGTATTTGAGATCTGGGCACCTCCAGACGTTAGAACAGAAGCTAAATGAGCAAAAACAAGCCATCAGGTAGTCGATGTGGGCTTGGATGTAGTCGAGACCCATCGGAATGTTGGAAGGCGTATAGCCGTAAATTCATCTTGAGTTATTGATGTAGAGAATGTTGTCTGTTGAGCAGCCTGGTTGCAGTTTATTTCGACTGAGGCTCAGAGCAAAGCACCAAAGTAGGTTTAACGACATGAATTATGTCGTAGCTTGTCTATGACTTGTGGTGTAGAAATCCGGGACTACATTTGATTAGGCTTTGCGCTAGCTGTTGTTCGTGCAGCAGTGGCTGAGCTGATAGCTAATCTAAGGCAACTTCATCCAATTCAACCTTCTGTGGGTTATAGCTTCTACCTCAACCAAGTCTTCATCGAAATCATGCCTTTGATTGAATATGGCGTTTCACTCAAATACCGATGGGCTCTTCGTGGGAAAAACCAACAAGATGGCTGCGTGCAGCCATTTTGGGCAAACGACAATATGGGAATCGGTCTGGCTGGGTCTTGATAAGTCAATTCACTTTACTAATCGTTCACCGTGGTTACAGATTGCGTCGTCAGTGAAGGCACTCTTTGTTTCAATGCAGCGCTGATTGCTGTTTGTTGATTTGAGACCACCTCTCGCCACTAAATATAATCGGTAATGTTAAAATAAAAGCTAATGAGGGTATCATCACAAATCATGCAATTTTTCGATCGACAACCGACGAAGCGTGTCCTGGAGCACGTAAACCTAAGCACTGGAGGTCCCCAAGGGTGCTTGGCTTTCTGCACACCCACAATCTTCCTCTCCATATTGCGGTGACAACGCATGTCTAAGGTGTCATGTAATTCTTCCGGGGCAAAAGCGAGCCCATGAACGAAATGCTCCCATTACTGCATGCACAGGCACTCCATGCACACAGCACCTCCGAACGCCTCCATTGCGTGCACAAATTTGCGCAAGCAGAAGTCACATGATCCAGGTCGACGCCACACCCACCACGCAACTATCAATCCACACATGCACAGGCACGTCTACACCACCCATTCAAGAAACATTCTGGTGAGCTCGTCCATGTGTTCCAGCCACAAAAGTCGCCTTTACTTATATGAACCCAATACCTTCGTCATGCATTCTGTGGTAGATAACAAAGGCGGTGCATGGCGCAGTAGCTGAGCTTCCGTAGCTTAGAAGTGGATCGCTACTAGTGGTAAATTCGGTTCCTTTTAAATTCTCCAAGAACCTTTCGTAATGCGGAAGTTAAAATGACCACAATCACCCTTGGAGCTGTCATGTATTGGCAGTGACATTTACAGACACTTGAAGTTTGCATTTCAATTAATGGTGAAATAATAGGCTTTGTGGTCAGTCTGAACAAGAACATGTTTGCCAAACAACTTTGCCCAATCTTTGATACATGGATTACCACAAATAAATCGACATTCCAATTCGCTGAAGTGATCGAGTGTAAGAATAATGCGAGTGCAAATTGCCAGATTTTCCGATCTTTACTACTGATGAACAACCACTTCAGCGTTGGCAGCCGTTTGGCGAGCCAACAATTTCTAGTTTGATGCAAATGTTTTGGTTCCAACACGAATGTTGTAGCCTTGACCTGCTCTGCCTGATGTTTACGCAGGTCTTTTCAAACGTAGTTTTTTTTTGAAATTATGAAAGACATTGAATTAAATAGAGAGAACGCTTCTCTGTCGTACAAAACAGTCAACCTTATTAAGATATTTTAATCCGTTATCAATGAAACTCAAACAATTCGATTAAGATCATTTCTAAGTACCTGACTGTATCAGTAAATAATCAGATATAATTGACGCAATACGACGTCGCATGGTGCTATAATGGATAATGGTGCTATAATTGACGCAATACGACGTCGCATGGTGCTATAATGGAGTAGTCGATGTCTGAGACAGCCCTACATGTCCCTAAAACTCCATCAGATCAATGTGAAGCAAATGCAAACAATCTCATCATCTAATACACCACATCGGATTATGTTAAAAGTGATTTGTAAATCTGGGCTCTTCTCAGGTTCACATGTCAGACACCATCACATTTACTGGCATTATGCTGCGACATAGCTTGCTCTAGTTAACTGGATGCAACTTTAAAGCAGCTGCGCCTATCAAATCGGCAGAAGCACCAGCCAGACACCGAATTTCGACCTGTTTACTTGGAAACCGCGCGCATTCAGTTGGATTCTGTCCATATAGTTGAAAGGGAATTTCTTCGATCGTAATTGCCAAGGCCATCTGAGTCCATGTTCAGTCGAATTACAAATCTTTGAACGATCACTTCTGAAACATCGTTGTGAAGGACACCTCAAGAAGCCCCACGGTGGCAAGGTTTAATTATGTATCTGGGTCAGTAATATTTTGCCCAATGCAAACACACTTCCTTCTTCCGGAAACAGTATCGTAGGAGCATATTGTTTTATTGAATAATGGTTCTTTATCTAGGTAATAAAACAAATGGTCAGTATTATGGTAATACATACACCCAGTCCCTTTTTTCTTATGTTGATCGTGCCTTCTGTGCATTTGGACTTAAATCGAATTTTTCCCGAGAATGGATCGGTATGTTAGGGGATATTTCGGGCGTGTTTCAACACGCCTTTTTCGGTCTCACATTTACCACCGTCGTTGTGTTGACAAATAATATCTGATCTTTATGTATTATTGTATTATTTTCGTCAATTGATGACCACCGTTTTCGAGGAAAGGTTCAAATATGCCATTCTTATACGCTTGCATTACACACTTCTGGCGACAAGTTGCAGCACGTGTCTTCGTCGTGCAATATCGTACACATTTAAAATAGTACATGTATTCATTGGAAAGCAGGAGATCTCAAAGGGCTCGATATCATCCAGTTTACATCACGCTCAAAATCCTTTTCACGTACGCCTTAAACATCCTTAATGATCACCAGCTGGAATAAATGAGCTCAAGGCCATTCTTTGGTTGAAGGTCAGAGAGTAGGCGTGTTGTTTTTCAAAAGTGCATTGTTAGGTTTACCTGTCACAAACGGAAGAGATCAGATGCGACTGGGGCTTTGTGAGAAACCACTCACCCAAAATGGATTAAGGCTTCGACAACGCTTGATTACTGTAACTCTTCAGACAACAGGGATCTCAATCTTTGAACAGGAGCTGGAAATTCGAGGAAAGTGTTTGCCATTGAATCCTTTTTAAAATCAACCAGCGCTGGGTGAAATTGTGCACATTGTGTTTAAATTGAGAAAGTCTAATGAAAAGATACCGGTGATTCTAACTTTCAAACACATTCCAATCATTTCTGTGTCGTAATGTTTCAAATATGCAGAAATGTCTATTCGACTTAATACTGAAGTCTCAAAACTAGAATCTAAACTACCATATATAACCTAATTTTTGCAACGATCTAAGGGGACTAACTATTGGTATTGACCGTCACGTTATACAATGCATACGAAAATATGACTGAATTTCGGAAAAATCAAGACACATTCACGTCAGGTGTCTTGAAGCCAAAGTTTTGAACTTAATTAATGCAAAACAAATTTGGTAATATGCGTTAAAAGGACCGTCGGTGGTAGACGTGTAGCGGATTACAGGCGATCGCGCCTGAGTTAACCCTGGTTACCGACCTGACGG